TGTCAAGTAATTTTACTAAATATTTTTAATTTAATTAATGAACTTATAAGTTTTCAATTTTCAGTTCTTAGCTTAAGGTTTATGAGTTTTCAACCAACCTATAAATTAATTTTACCAGCACGCATTATATAATCTAAGAGTTTAAAAGTTGGAAATTTATAAACTAATTGATTAAATTGAAAATATTTGATAATATTAGTTAATAAATTAGTTGGTTAATGTAATAAATGACATATTTAATTATTTAATAATAAAATAAGAAAATAATATGTAGACAAAATAATTTATTAATTAAAAAATTAATTAAATAATGAGAATGAAAAAGAAAAAAAAAGTTAAGAACTTATAAATTAAACTATATAAATTACTTCAAATATTAACTTATGAAATAAAACAAGTTTTCATACCAATCAAGCTTATTTTAATTTAAATAACTTATAAATATAAAAAAAAATTATAAACTCATTAAATATGTTGTTAAACATATTTTTAATATAATTATATACTCAAAACTGGTGATTTCGAATTAAATTATAATAATTTGGTCAAGTTGATTTATATATGTTAGTCGATAGAAGTAGAATCTCAAACCGAACCATAAAGTAAAGTAAGATAATTAGTGCATCTACTTACCCGTTAAGATGAACGTGAAATACTGGAATCAAGAAGGAACTTTCTCTCTAATACTCGGGAATAGTATATAGTTTTATGTCAATTTTGTTTCATAGTGTCCAAATTGCATTTGGCATTCAAGTATTGGATAATCTACTTAGGGCATTGGAAAAAGCAAACCTAACTCTTAAGAAGTCAACCAACAAATTAAATTAAAATTTGCTAGCTCAAGGTATGTTTAGTCTTGCTTTGAGACTTCCTAATTAACTTAATTGGCTATTGTATTTTTTTAATCAAACATTTGGTCAATTATTGTTCTGTCCGATAAACCTAACTTCACACCACAGCTGCGTTGAAATATCCAATAAAATTTATAATATAAAATTTTTAGTAAACGCCACCTATAGATATGCATGGCATTAATGCTAATTTAAAAAAATATTTAATTCAATAATAAAAAATAAACAGATATTTTAATTTTAATTTTTATGTTAAACTATTGATGTACAAATGTGAATAAAAAGTCTCATATTAAATAAAAAATATGCATAAATTAAATAATATATAAATGAGAAATATCACAAATTTAATATATTAAAAAATTGAATTAGGATTCAATTTTTTTTATTTATTTAGAAAAATAGTTTTGATTTTCATATATTTTATTTTTTAAAATATTCCTTATCATCGTTTAGTAATGACTTACATGTATCTAATCATGTGAGATTGTTATTAATGGTTCGTTTAAACTAATAGTCCAATAATGTACAAAAAAAATTAATAGTCAAATATAGAGGAAACTATAGACGATATAAACGTAAGAGTAAAAGAAGTTTGTGTTATTTAGGTGGATAAAGATAAGAAAAACAAATTTTTACTTATTTGGAGAGTGAAAAAGACAAATAAAAGCAATAAAAATTTAATTAATTAAAATTTTGTTTTATTCATTATTTTTTAAAAAAACAAATATAAAATGAAAAGATATATAACTTTCTTCTCATTTCATGAAATTTAGGAGAAAAGTGTTTTCTAATGAGTCCTATTTCTGTAGAATAACTTTGTTTTTTTATCCAAACAAAGGTAAAAACTTAATATTATATTTTGTTTTTTCAAATGACAGAAGGTGAGAGCATCATGCACTCACTTGCTCCTTTTCTATAGTATCACATGATCAGTATACTTTATGTATTATATAATTATGTTGCAGTCCAAGGTACAAGTCAAAGAAGGTGAATGACAAAAAGTCTACTGTTTTTCTTCCACAGTTGTAAACTTGTAATTGTTTCACTAATCATACAAAATGTAAATACATTCACATTGATAAGACTATAAGAGAAGACTGATGTTATTTGGAAACATATTATTTCAAAAGATTATTTATAATTAAAAAGCTTTTAATTAGTTTAAAAACAAAAGTGAGGTACAGAATGAGTGTGGCAAGATGGGGTCATATTTCACTATCACCTGGTGTCTCAATTGGCAATTCCATGATTGAAATATTCAAAGAGGAAGAATCATGAATGTAAAGATTGCATCTGCAAGGATGCAGATGCTTTACGGATTTGGGTACAAATAGGGTAGCGAAGAAAACGAAGTATAAACAAAGTGTTGCTACGGCTATCATTAGGATCACCACATCCGAGGTATTGTCCGCTATAACTCGTTAGACCGTCACGGTTTTGTCTTTTAAAAGGCGCTTCGGTGGGTTAAGGAGGAAGGGTGTTTATAAACTACTCTTAATCTCGACTCCTAAGCGATGTGAGACTTTTAGACATATACCGGAACAAGCCTCTCAATGCTAAGGAGCAAGAGTGGCCTGAACCCTCTTTCTGGCGGCAATCTCCGACAAGAACACAAACCATTGATGACATGTGAGTACTCACAATTCGATACCACTAGGATTTGATAGCCAAGTCTGGGGATTCTTAGATGGCCTTAGTATATAATTTGGCTCCTGCTTCCTCAATCCACTAATCAATGACTTTATCTGTCTTATCTTGATACCAAATTTTTATCCAATTCTTTTCAACCTACAACTCCAAAAACTGTTACTGTTAGTAATATTTAAAAAATTATTACTTAATTATGTATAAATATTATTAATTTATTTTTTGATATATTATCAAATATTATATATAATTTATATTAGTACAAAATTTTAATAATATTTTTATGTAATTAAACAATAATATTTTTTAAATGTTATCAAAGTGATGTTTTTGTAATATTTTAATGATGTTACTAATTTTTTGTTAATTTTATAAAATAACAATTAGTTTTAATATAAATGTTGTTATCAATTATTATACTTTGTCTCCTAAACTCTTACAAGTTTTTTAAGAGAAGATTGAAAATATTCTTAATTAGTTACTACTAATTATATATCAAATGTTGAAGTTTATTTATTTATCTTAAGTATAACTACATGATTATATATACTTTTTTATGAGTCATTAATTTATTCGATATGAGATTTTAATTATGAAAAATAATTAGAGATGTGAAAACTATACTCTTTATGTAATATTTTTTTTACTCGGTGTGAGATTTTAATTTTTTAAATAATTAAAAAGAATAATATTGAGATTAATAAATGTTACTTATAGCTATAAAAATATTTTTTTTAAAAAATGTTGCAAAATAATCTATGTAACTTTTTTTTATTCAATGTAAGATTTTAATTTTAAAAATAATTTAAAAAAATGTTACTCTATCTATAATAATATTTTTTATAAAAAAATATTATAAAATAACTTATTTATTTAACATATAGTAACATTTTAACAAATATAAATCTCTAAAGAATCAAAATATAGTAGTGAATTAGTGGTCGAGTTGAATCTTACTAACCTCTACAATAAAATGCTTAGTACATAAGTAAGTTCATCTCAAATATGCTAATAAAAGTTTAATTTTTGGTTGTATGGAAAAAAAAACTTTATTGGAACACTTGGCTTTGAAAGAAAATAATCTGTCCTAATGGTTGAAGGATAATGTTGATGATATATATATAATGCGACAAAGTTTAGTATATGATATTCATTCTCTGGGAATGTGACAAGCAATCTATATAAAATAAGTGTAGGTAAGAGTATAAGCGGGTCAAGTTGAATTGAGTTTAAATGAATCTGTTATTCGATCCAATTAAAATCTAATGTGTTATGTTGGGTTTGTGCAAATTTTTTAAATCAAACTCAACCCAATCACAAATATGTTGGATTAGGTTAATCAAATCAACATAATTAAATTTATTTATTTTTTGTGAAAATTTAAATATTTTAAAATATATGTAAATCATTTGATATATTACTGCAAATATAATATTATCGATTATAAAATAAATAATAATACAAATAAAAATTTTAATACAAATTTATTAATTTATTACATTATTATTAATTTAAAAAAATCATTTATTAGTATAAAATTAAAATTAAAATAAATATATTATATTATTATAATGTTATCAATTTAAAACACAAATCTCGTTATTAAGTAATGAAAGTAAGTATTGTCGTAAATAAATAATCATTCAAATATTATTATTATTATATATAATCAAATCTAAGTTGGATAATAGGTTAAGAATATAAAATCCGTTATCCAACTCAAATAATATCAAATTTTGATCAGATTAAATTGAAACTAATATAAATAATAATAAAAAATTGATAAAACTCATTAGGTGAATTTGGATCAAATGAAATTCGCAGATTAATTGTAATCACTTACTTCCCTGCCCCTAATAGATGAAAAGGCCAAAACACCCATAGTTTCAAAGGTACAAAATAATGCAAATTAGCGTGAAAGAAAAATTCTAGAAGTGATGTATTCATGGTTTACTTTTGTTTTTTCTTCATTTATTATATTCATTTTCTTGTCTATTAAATAATCCAGGTTAATGTCCTCGTGGGATCCATGGTCCATGATCTATACTCAGGCTCGGATGTATATTCATAACCTCACTAAATTTTTTCTCTCACTATATATATAATATAGATTATATTATATTACATTTTAATTATTTTTAATATATTTAATATATTAGTATTTTATTCACACTTTTTTATTCTAAGTAATTATTCTCATCGATAAAAATTGTCTTTAATTTTTTTATTAATATAATATGTTATAACTTTTAGATTAAAAAAATATATTTCTTGTACAGTGATGTTATAATTTAATTTATTAAAATATCCTGTTTTTCAATTCTTTTAATCTTATATGATAGTTCAATATGTGTTGACAGAGGATAATTTACTTTCAAAATAATAGATATTATCCCATAAAAAACATATATATATATATATATATTTTGTCTGGAAGGTGCATAAATATGGGAGTATCGCAAGAAAGAATTCACCACCTTCCTTCTCTTGATCGTCTTTCTGGATCTTACTAACTCACACAAACATGGTGTTGGAGTTGCTTTCTCCACCCTGCGAGCTTCCCGTTGTGGACCTCTCAGGCGAAAGGGCAGAGGTGGCAAAGGTCATTGTGAAAGCGTGCGAAGAGTTCGGTTTCTTCAAAGTGATAAACCATGGTGTGAGACATGCAGTCGTAGCTGAAGCTGAAGAAGAAGGCTTTACTTTCTTTAAGAAACCCATGGCACAGAAGAACCTTGCTGCACCTGCTTATGGCTGCAAGAACATTGGCTTCAATGGGGACATGGGAGAGGTCGAGTACCTTCTATTCGCTGCCAACACTCACTCCATTGCCAACATATCCAAAACTACATCAACCTTCAGGTATATATATATCTTCTACTGCATGCTTCCTTTCTCAATTATTTCTCCTATCTACATTTTTTATTTATTATGCATCATTTTTTATTCGGAATTACTATATAACGCCTTCTATATATCTTCATGCTCACACAACTCCTTCAATCTCTTTGTTTTTAAGACGTCTTTCATCATCATTTCAGTTCAACTTAATTAGGTTAAAAAACAAGTTACAGTAACAGATATTTGATCACAAACGTTTCCTTTTTTTTTCTTTTTTCACATTGGAATGCTTGATTTTTTATTGAATATAATTTTAAACTGATATTCAAAACATATATAATAATTAAGACTTGGGGATTGAATTCTACTTCCTCCATATTTTATGACAACATATTTTATATCTTGTCATGTGGAATTGTGTTGTAATTTAACTAAATTTTAACATTACATAATTTAATTTTTTTATTTTTAAAAGGCAGATATAATACTTTTTAGATATTATTTTAACTTTGGTTCCTATGTCGATTTTAGTGTCCAAATCTAATTTTTTTATTTATTTATAAAACATATAAAACCTTGTGTTTTTTAACATGTTACTTTGACTTTCATTGTTAAGTGGATTCTAACGATTAGACATGATTTTAGATAAACTTTTTAATAAGAAAAACATATAATTTTCTTGTTAAATGATCATATGAAAAGTAGTATATTTATATGTTTTATAATCTTGATATTTTTTTTATAATGTTTTAATAAGCATTATAATAAATAATTTTATACACTTCCTGCAAGCTACAACACACTTATGGTGACTGAATAAGTACAATGTTTCGTTTTGGATCTACCTTACACTGCATAGCAAAGAACGGAGAGAGAATAAATGCTTCAAAGTTTCAACGTTTTCCCTTTGTACCACTTACACAACAAAGCCATTATTCATTCTTTAAACAGGGTGATATATAGTGCAACTGATTATTGTACAAGTCGAGCTTCTTGCTCTATTTGTTTTTCCATAATTCAAAAATTGTTATGAATATCAATTAATACTGTTAAAAGTTTGTTTACTAGTCATACCACTTAGAGCGTATTTATTTTACTGTTTAACTAAATTTTTTCACTTTTCAAAACAAAAACGTAGAATTAAGAGGATAAAACGTAAAAGTAAACACACTTATATATACGTATGTTTCTTTTGTTTGAGAATAGTAAAAAAGAACATTAGAACGTTAGAAATACGATGCACTTACTTTTTAATCGATAACTACATGTAAGTCTTGGAGTATTCTAAGGATCGTTCTCGTTGATAAAATAATATTTAACAATGGAAGTCATTTTTCATAAATATAAAGTACTGATTTTATGGGTTCAGTTTCACAATTATCTTATGCAACTCAATTTTTAAATGCCTTTCTAACTTTGCGCCAACTAACATATACTTATTAAAAGTTGCAACCTCAACATTTTCGTTTGTTTGGAAGTTGTGAAAAGTGTAATAGCGAGTATTTTAATGAATATTTGTAAAACTAATTGGAATGAAAATATGAAATTGATATTTGTTAAAATAAATTATGTAGTAAAATGATATTTAGATGGTAAATAGATTTAATTTCAGTTATATTATAAACGTTAGACAAAATATTTTGTAAGTAGAATTATATTAATGTATTTGAAGTAATTTTAGAATGAAAATAAAGAATTAAGGTTGCACATGGGACTACTGTGGTGGGGCGGCATGTCAGCGACACTTGACCTTTTCACTTCAAAGAAATGGTCTTGTCAACAGTCAACACTCAACACTCATCACTCAAGAATGCTGCAATCAATTAATTCTGTTTATAAATAAAAGAAAACCATATAAGAATCACAAATGTTTTCGTTAGACACAACAGAAAATACAAATTATAATTCTTCCCATAACAAGTAATTATATTTTAATTTTCATATATTTCTATGGCATAAATTTATAGATTGTTATTCTCAAATTCTTAAAATTAAAATTATTTCATGAAATATATGTTTATAAAATTAATTTTGATTATTATCCAACGTACTATGTCAGGAAGAATAAGAATAATCGTGTGTTTCAATAAGAAATTTAAAAAAATTTCAAATTTTCAAATTTTAAAATATTTTAGTTTTATTTTTATTATTATTATTTTTAAATATTTTGTATTGATAAGTTAATTTAAATTTTAAAAATTTTAAATTCTTAATTTAGATATAATAATTTAATTTTTTTCATGAAAAATTGATTATATATATATTTTTTGAAATTTAAGGTTAAATATTAGTAAATTTTTAAATATCAAATATTTAAAAAATAATATTAGATATATTTATATTTTAAAAATAATTTTAAATATTTAATAACTAAAAAAATTATTAATATTTTTTATGTCAATTTAAAAAAAAAAAAAGATCAGAGGGTAGGAGAGGAAAAAAAAAACAAAAGGTAAAAAGGACAAATACTAAGAGAAAAGAATGGAGAGATAAGAGAAAGAAAAGAAATAAAATTAAAAAGAGAAAAAAGAAACAAATTAGAGAGGATAAAAAGGACAAAGAGTAGAGAAGGAGAAAGGGGAGAGAGAAAAAATAGAATATAAGATGGAACAGTGAAGGGAAAAAAAGAACAAAAGATAAGCTATACAAGATCGATAAAAGATTTATAGGTAAATTAAGAAAAAGAAAAATGCAGAATTTAAAATTTTATTATTTTTAAAGATTTTATAAATATTTAAATTTTAAATTCTTTGTAAATTTTTTAACCAAATAAAATATTTTACAGTAAGATATTTAAAAAATAAATTACTTAATTTAAAGGTAAAGCAGTAAAGCATGTTTGAATTTGAATAGCAAAATGGTTTGGATAAAGATTTGAAGCAAGAGATATGCCATGTGTCTGAATTGTGAGACATATATCATCAAGAACGTCCAATCAAATCCAACCTAGCTAGAAGCTGAAATAGTGAAATGAAACAATACAATTTCCCAAAATGTAAAAAAAAAGAAGGTCTAGTATGTAATTTCCATAATAAAATACTAAGCTAGAAGTGTCTGGTGAGTGAGTAAATCAGGCCCAGATAGCAGCGCATGAGTTGAGTTCAAAATCAAAACCCATCCTACTAAGCCACAGCTACCTTACCTCTATAGCTAATGATGGAGCATTTATAGGCTCATCTGTCATATCTACATGTCAAGTTTTGTGAATTTTATATTCAAGATATCCAATTTTTATAATGAAATATATGTTAGAAATATCACGTTAACCTAACCGGCAATATCATTAAAATAAAATGTTAGTAAGGCATAATGTTTACCATTTGTTTAGATGAGTTGTAAGAAAAACATCACATGAATCAACATGACACAAAGAAGTTATAGATGAATATAGTAATATTGAAAGTGATCGATTATGATACTTGAAAAAAAAAAAAAGTTATAGATGCATATAGTAAATAGGTAGTTAAAAAGAATTGTTGGCATATGGGAGGATTGATGTTTGATTTGAAAAAAGTAGTGTTGTAATTGCATTGCAATGGACATGGCAGGTGTAGGTTGAGTGCATACATAGAGGCAGTGAGGGAGGTGGCATGTAAGATATTGGAGCTAATGGCAGAGGGCCTGGGGGTCCCTGATAAAATGTTTTTCAGTAGGTTCATAAGGGATGTTGAAAGTGACTCAGTAATGAGGCTCAATCACTACCCACCAGACAAGTCACAATATAGCAAGGTTGGCTTTGGGGAGCATTCTGACCCTCAGATCTTAACCATTCTCAGATCCAACGACGTGGGTGGCCTCCAAATCTCCCTTCAACATGGACTCTGGATCCCGGTCACACCTGATCCCTCAGCTTTCTATGTCAACGTGGGTGATCTACTACAGGTACCCGTAGCATATTCTAATGTTTATGTATTGTATCAGCATCACTATTATAAGCTCTTTTTTTATTATTATAATTTTTTAGCCCCATAATCACATACCCTTCACTTGATTCGTTTTCCCAAGGGGGGCCTGCTCTCTATGCTCTGCCATAATAATCTTATAGAAAACCCACTTGCTAGCAACTGAAATGACATGGGATTTGATGTTTTTATTTTCACTACTGAATTTTAGTCAATCAATCAAATCAATTGAATGTACTAGTTTTGAAATGATTTTTAAAACGTAATAATTGTAGCTTTTATAAAAGCATGCGTGATGACAAGTTAGCGTTCAAGTCTGGTACAAGAGTTGGAACAAAAAAGGTTTTTATACTATATAGTGTTGTTGTTGTATTAAGGTTATGACAAATGGGAGATTTGTGAGCGTTCGGCACAGGGCTATGACAGAGTCACACTACAAGTGTAGAATGTCGGTGGCATATTTTGGGGCTCCACCTCTGCATGCAAGGATTGTTGCTCCCTCAGTTATGGTTACACCCCAGAGGCCCTCTCTTTTCCGACCATTCACTTGGGCCGAGTACAAGAAAGCCACATACTCTCTCAGGCTTGGAGACACACGCATTGACCTTTTCAGAAACCCTAAACTCTAGTTTGTCTTGTCATGCTACCTTTTGCCATGTTTTCCTATGCTTGTCTAATTGTGTCAACACTTTTTGCATGGGTTGTGGTAGAAGTCGACTCGACAACGGTTACAAAAGCTACTATGTTTCTAATTGCTATTTTCATTTTGTTTCTTAATTTATAATTTATAATGTTTAATATGGTGGAGTGGCATAAACATTTTCTTAACATCTTCTTTCATCACTCTTTTTTATAAGATAAAATGTGTCTTTTCTTATTGTGTCAATACAACACGGATCATTAGTTAATATGTTCGAAAGGTTTTTGTTTTGATATTTTAATCCTATCTTAAGTTTGAACAATAATGACATGAAAGTATTTTTTAATGAAACTTTGTTATGGAGACAAATCAAAATTTTGTAAAGACTAAAATCAAACATTGAACTTCATAAGGTCTTAAATCATCCTTAAAAAGAATTAGGGACAAGAAACCACTTGTCACAGAGAGAACACAGTGAAGCAACATAGCACATATGTGCAAATAGAACACTCGAAACATAAATATACGTGGAGTTACCCCGCATAAAATAAATGATGCAACAGAACTGTGATACAGTTAGCCATTATCACCAAATAACAGGAATATTGAACGGATTAAATTCTGAAAAGTGGTATCAATCATTTATTATTGTAATAAATCAGTTCACCTAGACTTAACACTCCAACAGTTCATATAATGACTCTTGACATTAAACAAGAAACTTAGATCTCGCAGCAAAACGGGCACACTTCTTTCTACCAGTTTTGCTTAGCATGCAGACACAGTTCTGAAGAAGTTCAAAATCCTCCTCCCAAAACAACAAGGATGCCTTTTCTGGATTCTCTAGAAGCATCTTTGAAGTCAAGAAACCAGCAATGGTCCAAGTCTGCATCAACCGCGATTGCTTCCCAATGAACCTTCCATTTCGGGTATCGTAATATTCAGGCCATCTATCCATAGATAGCCTTTTCTCTGCTGAATCAACTGCTTTTTGTGCCAAATCAGGCCTTCCCATCTTCATGCAGGCTAGTGTGAACTGAAGTTAAAGATACCATACTAATTAGAAATATAACAAAAGTTTAATATTCATAAACCATCAATGAAAAAAAAATTGTAATGTCAGCTAATTCGAAATTGTCCTAAATATTACTTTTTAAAGTAATTATCACAAAAGTTAACAATTTTATCATATATATTAATCCAAGAGTGAATGACTTTGCAAAAAATGCATTTTAATTAAGTTCATATAATGATAAAAAGAAAATTGTAATGTAGGCTTTCAATTGGTTTACCATTCTAAAAAAGAAATATAAAAGAAAGACACTTGATTTTACTGAAAAATTATAATGAATAATCACAAAGATAATATAATCCAAACAAATATAAAAAACTCACCTGCCAGAGAAGGGTCGGCCAAGATCCCCCATTATGATATGACCAAGGGCTGCAATCAGTTTAACAGAAATTATCGTTGTAACTTCCAATAGGAGGCAAGGGAGAGATAAGATAACAAACAAATACTCAGAAAAGAGTAGTGCAACAGCCAAATCCTTCATGATACCAGAAAGCACAACTATCTGTGGCGGGATATTGAATCATTGACTGTTTATTTCAACGGTGAACATGACACAATTGTGAACTTTTGTATCAAGAAGGTTCTGGTCGTAGCATTACTCTGCGAAAATCACAATCAGGTGAAAAAGAACAAGTAACTTAAAAGAGCCTTACGTGTTCTTGGGGTCACAGCCAGTGATTATACGCCATTCTTCACCCTCAAGCGCTGGATAACAAATCTTGAGAGGCATTTGAGCAATGATATCGTCCCATTTGGCCTCAATTAAATTCAAAATGCCCTGGTTCTGTTTTGTTGTTCCTAAAGAAGAAACAATAGCCCAAAGGTTTCCAAGAGTGAAAAACCTGAAGTCCATATGAGCAGGTTGCAAATTGCCAATGAAGTATCCACCTTCATCAGAGATCCAGTCTACCAGCCATGAAGGAATTTGCTCTGGATAGATGTTAAACTTGTTGACAGCATCAGTAGAGTACTCTTCCGTCTTATACCGATAAATTTCATTAATCTTCTTCATATCAACCCAATAATACTCTCTCATGTGAAAGGAGAGTGCACTCAAGCGATTACTAACAGCAGCCACCAGGTTCTTAGTTGCATCATTAACTATCAGCATCTCACGAGAGCAGCGTAAAGCTGAGTAAAATAATGCCTGCAAATGAGCAATTCAAGCCCACCAAAGGAGAACTGTACATAAGTAAAGAGGCATATATTCAGACACCCAGGAAGCAGTAGCAAAAGTTCAAAAATGGTGAATCAGTTTTAATTTTTAATATGAAAAATTCTGTCAGTCGTTGTCCAACAGTGAGTAAAAGAAAATTTTAAAATTCTCAAACATTTTGTTCTATGGCAAAGAATAAAGTTTTCTTGAATCACACTGCCTCACTTTTTCTTGCTCAAATAATCTAACTTAAAGAATGCAGTGCTCCGAATACAGAGCAGGAAAGCATATTATCCATGGAAAAATCCCCTCATTCAGTATCATGCATTTGGAAGAGCAAATTAACTGATACTTCCTACTTCCTTGTATAAAAAGTGATAACTAGAAATCAGCTTACCTGGATCTCAAGAGGGTGACCATGAATACCCATCCTTCTATCAATCATGCAGGAGCCATCAGTGACTAATAGAGAAGGAAACATGTCAAATCCGTCAGTCAGGCACAACTTAAGGATCAGTCTTATGCCTGTTTGGACATCCACTCTATCTTGCAAATCATAGTCACCAGTTAATTTCCCATAAGCTCTCAATAATATAATCCACCATAATCCTGTTAACAAAGTATTTAGCATAAACTTTAAAATTTTGGCCTAAATCTGGATTGTAAAATTAAGAAGTTATGCAAAGAAATATTTTGAAAAGGAAAAAATATAGTAAGACTATATCAGAAAAATTATTGATGACAAAGTAGGTAACATTTAAAGTAATAGAAAAATGTCTTGGATTCCACGGCAATAAATAACTTACCTGAATCAACAGGTGCAACACGACCAATAGCTGATTCACCAAAATCAGGATCCAAAACTTCCTCAAATGCTTCATTGCTTCCGTCAAGAGGCACAGCTCTAACCTTGAAGCTTGCTGGCATCAACCCTTGCCCTGGGCTGTAGCAGTCAACAGTCTTCTCCCAACTCTGGCAAACATAAACTTAGAATTAAAATATTAAATGAGCAACAAGTACTCCAAAAACCATTAATTAAAGTCGCATAACAGCTTCATCAATATTGTTTGTTGACAACACCTTAAAAAATATTCCTTCCCTCCCACTCATTGGTTACTTGTTTTTGTAGTAGATAAAATTAGCAAAACTTAGCTAGTGAGCCATTTACCGGGATTCTAGTTTAATTTGGGAAAATATGATATAAAATCCGTGAATAAGAAGCATTTTTAGAACATGTTTGGCTTTAAGTTGAGAATCTCCAGACCATGATTTGAGCAAAAGCTACAAGAGACAAGCTTTTGCCCAAACCATGGTTCAGGGCTTTTCTAATAGGAATCCAAACACACTTGGACATACATTTCTTCAGCGATGTCTAACATAGGAGAATTCAAAATAAGAAAAGCAACAAATATAACCAAACACGTGATGTCTTATCTTTCTATCATTCACATAGAAGAAACAATCTGTCTCTAAAATTCATTAAACTATACAATTATTGGGTAGGCAAGCAAATCAGTAATTAATTGTGAAGCATTAACTCCAACTATATTAGCAGTCCTGACAGAAGCAACTCTCTAACAATGAGCATTGCTAGATCAAAATTTTACACGTACTAGAGACTGTAGAATAACAGCTAATAAATTTATGCAGTAAAAATCTAATTGAGCTGTTGAGGTCATAACATACCTGTAATTGCAACGTGTGAAGTAGAAAATTCTTGACAATTTCCCCTTCACCATTGAGCAAAAAGGCAAGTGCTGATGGAACGAAATCACGGATAAAAACTTGATCATAGTTCAGCGGTTGTTTGTCAGCAGTATCATTAGCTGCAACAGTGCCAACCGGATTCCCACAGTAAGTGACAACAGCATCCTCAAGCAATTTCCAAGCTTCCTTTTCAATCTCAGACACCTCCCTCTGAACCTTATTCTCACTCAAATCCTTCAAATTATCTATATTTACACTTGACTCATTTTCAGAGACCTCCTCGAAGTCCAAGTTACTTTGGTCAGTCTCAATTCTATCAATTACCAACGGCTTCGCATTCAAGCCATTTTGAATGTAAATCTTCTCAAAGCTTGTATCGCGAGCATGTGAATCAACCGATGTAGAATGGTTCCTAATATCCGACGCTACATGCGGTACCAAGGACACAACTCTAGGCCTAAAACTACCAATATTGACACAAAAACTAGTGCTAAAATTCCTATAAAGACCCCAATTCGAACCGGAAACACTAAAATCTCTCCGATTTGAATTGATCTCATGTTTATACCCTAAAATCTGAGTATTACAGGTATTGTATTTATGCTGATGGGTTGAGATGTGATGACCTGATCTGGACAACATACCCATGATTATTGAATCACTGACTTTGGTTGGAGAAAACCCAAAAAGCAATGGACTTTTATAGCTACTTAGGATTCTACAACAAGGCTTCATGGTAGAGATTCCAATACAGCTACCACTAGTCATTTGTATGATCAAATAACCACAGCCCAGAATATGAAACTGCTCTGGACTAATAAAACTCAAGACTTTATTTATTTACTACACTTCTATGTATATGGGGGGGAATATAAAAAAGAATGATTATAAATCTAGAAATGGAAATTTCTGAGTTGATTAGTAAGAGAATGGTAATGGAAATTTACAGTGATTTCTAGGTTTACTTACAGTTTATGATGGCGAAGTTGTTGAGATCGAATGGTTTGAATGAGAGAGCGAACAGTATTTGAGATTTGAGGAAATGAAGAATGAAGCTCAAAACGCCATTTTATAAGCTCTGAGAAAGGAAAGTTCGTAGGAGGGAGGAATAGTTTCCGAAATTGATGACAAGTGTAAATACATTATTGTCCTCCGCACGTGTTGGATGTTTGTTTATTTGGTTACAGATTGATTTTACAATAATAGCCTTCGTAGGTTCAATGAACAAGTCCCAACCCAACAACGGATAGCAGTTATTAAGAAGATATAGCAAAAACATGACAGGATTTGTCGGTTTCCTTTGGTGATTGACATGTTCTAACTTAACTAGTCTTACATCTAATGTAATTAAACTAGATGAACTATTAAAGTAAGATTTTAAAATTATGTATGATTCTATTTCATTGAGAACTGAGAAGGGTGCAGCGTGTTGGAGGCTTACACTGTTTGAAACACAAAAAAATGAGAAATTAAAATAATTTTATATAAATGATTAATTTAAAAAAAAAAATAGATGCATTGTTTCTGTCTTCAAAGTGATACCTTATTTTGGCTTTTCAAAAAAAAAATTTAACTTTATTTGCTTACTTTTCTTTGGTGCTTTCTATTATACTGCCTTGAGGCGTATTTATTTTGGTAAGGTGATCCTTTCCTCATCCTTATCTATGTATTTTGATTTTTAAGGATTATTTTTCAAAAAACCACTTTAAGAAGGGCAAGTAAGTGAAATTCGGAATCCTTGGACATTAGGGAAAGGGGTAAATTGGGTATTGGAAAAAAGTGATGACGTGGTGAGGATAGGCATGTTCGAAAGAATGGAGGGCAAAAGCGTAAAAGCAGGTACACAAGAACTGTAGATATTTGAATGGATCAGAAAACAAGTTGTGGGCCCACCACCCTACAATTCATTAGAAAAGCGCCCATTTTAATTTTCTTTTTCTTTTTTTAGCCCAAAAAGCACATGTTGTAACTGCCACTTTCTAAGGTGCACGCCGCGTAAACTACACGTGTTCACTTCTTATTGGCCACCTTTCACGTTTCTGTTCCAAAGGCTAAAATTTCTTGTATGTCTGAGAGCAACTCTAATGGGAGTTGTTTGTCCCATGAAGCAACTCAAGTCCCGATTTTTTATCATTGGAAGACTCTGACATGGCAACATGAGTTGCTTGAAGAAGAGAGAGTTGCTTCTTCAAGCAACCGTTCTTTACCAGATTTTAAACAAATCTTATTGAACATATTTGGAAACGTTCTAGAAATAATAATGAAAATTAATTTCGTATAATGTCTATGCATTTATTATTATTTTATTTTCAATATCTACTTATTCTGTATTTTTTTTTCGTAATTTATTTTTTTTCATTGTAGTGCAATTACCCTTTTTAATAAAAATTTAAAATTAGTTCATAAATGATTAGAAAAAAATTCTAAAAGTTGAATTTCTTAAAGTTTCTTATCATTAGAGTAAATTTGTGTTTGAGTTGCTTAATATTGACATGACACACTCGAGTTCATTTTTTTTATTTTTCGATGCATGAAGCAACTCAAATGAGTTTACGATATTAGGATATTACGATATTAGAAATGCCCTGAAATATTACGATATTTTACATTCTCTCTTCCCACGTGCAAAACTTATTTGTGGCACGCGTCATCACTTCCGTCGTGGTCGTGGTCGCGTGTGTGGACAAAAAACATTTGCGCACGTTAAAGTTGCCACTAATTACACGAAAAGAATCTCCTGCAACTTCGAACCACCATTGTTTGGGCCGCTATGGACTTTCTAATTTGGCCCAGTAATAATTGGGCTTCATGATTGTTTAGCCGTGTTTCAATAAAAATTATCTATAAGAAGTTATATATAAATATAAAAAAATAAGTATGAGATTTTTTATAAACTAAAACTAATTTGTACTTAAATTTAAAAAACGTATTTTGAAGAAACTAACATGAAATAATTTTTATTAATTAACTTATGCATAATTTTAATTTTTGAAGAAACTTGATTCATTTTTCGTTCTATTTTTTTTTTCTTATAGAAAAATTTATCTAAATAGACTCTCAGTTTAGTATTTTTAATTTATAACAAGTGATATAGTTATAACAAGTGATAAAGTTGTGTAACTATAAGCTGTCGTAGAAGATGTAAGAAATGAACCACTTGAGTCTACAGTTGACCTAATAATGAAAAATTAAAATAGATGTATAAGAATTTAAGTTTGATATTTGTTGTGGTCATTGTAAAAAAAAAGGAAAATGAAAGAAATATAAGGAATGCCCAACCCGAGTCTCGACCAAACAATTAACTTTCATTTTGGCGGTTTGGCATCAAATAAAAAAACTGAAACTAAGAAGGCCTACCACAAACCAAGGCCCAAAGCCCAGATATAGAGATATCATAATTCCATTAACAAATCCACATTTTTGGACCTCTTTGGTTCTCAACGTTCTTTTTGGGTCAAGAAAATTGGCGGTTGATTTTTGCATCATTTTTTTCACTTTTTTTTTAATTACACTTTTTTATTTTTATTTTAAACATTTAGGATTATGTGTAGTTTCTTTTCTAATTATAGAAAATTAGATTTAAATATTAGTGTCATTATATATTATTTAAATATTTATGTTATCAAATTAATTTTAAATATAAAATATATATCAAATTACTGTTTATGTCATTATTTTAATTCTGCACAAAGATAAACATAATAATACTCTAAACATTTTAAAAATATAATGGCATGTTAATTTCTTTTTATGTCTAAAAGTGCCCACTTGTATCAACCTGTGCTAAGAATGGCCAGTTAATATTAAAACAATATTTAATTAAGGGTTAATCTTTAAACATATGACAAAGTACGCGTGCGACCTTAGGTATACATAATAACAAAGCGTCCATAATATTTAATAAGCTCTTGCGTAAGCAGTGATATAGTTTCACATCAACATAGAGATATATAATATGTAAATATATTACTTTAACTGTATTTTATGTGTTAAAGTTGTTATGCGCTATTTTCCCCTTGTCTTGTTTCTAGTCAAAGCACTAATCTCTAATGATTAGTTTAATAGACTAGTAATCTTTAATCATTGACAAGAATAAAAAATTGAAATTAAAATGTTAATACATTCTTACTCGACCAAATTAAAATAAAAATGTTCACACATTCGTGCTCAACCAATTATACATCTCAAATTATTTACAAGTAGTGTGACATTCTGTACACTTTGTACCCAATTAAAAATGATAATGATAAAATAAAATACATACTATATAAGAGACCACAATGGATCTGAGCTCAAACACATATAATTGATAATCATGAATCACCCGAGTCATTCATTATATAGCTGAAAAAAAATTGTTTGATAATAATTAAAATCTAATTATAATCAAAAGGCCTTATATATGTAGTTAAAACCTAATCGTGTAAAAGTCATATAACCAATGAAACAATATACGTATGGCTCTGTTGTTTGTGTATACGAAACTAATAATGAATTCAAGTCCTTTAAGCAAGTAGTTATTATGGATTCAAATTTTTAACACTTGTATATAAAAAAACTTGTTAGTTAGAAGGAGCAATCTACCTTATATGGTGTCTTCAACGATTTTCAAAAAACAAAACTATATGTGAACAATCAGGAATATTTTTTGTAATCATATGCATACTAAAATATAATATAATATAATATAATATATATATATATAACGTTAAGCAATCCATAACCAATAAATAAAAAGAAAAATAAATTAAAATAATTCATGTTAAAATGTGTTGTATTAGTTAGGAGTATGATCAGAATACGTCTTATAAGACCTGAATAACGTTTATCTATTTAACTAACTTTTGAGGAGTTAGGTCTGATATATTATATAATATCAGAATTTATTCAGTTTTAATATTGAGTAATTTGCAAATATTCAATCTGCAAAATTCACAAACAAATTATGGAGGCATGAACGTGAAGAGCGTGTTATATCTTATATCAAGTAGAAATATATATGATAAAAATAATCCTTATTAGACTTGACTCAGGTCTAATCCATTTCTAATGGCTCAATTATTGTCATAGTCTAGGAAGACTAACTAACAGTACAAAAGAAATCAACACTTAATCACGACATTAACGAAATTGAATATCGATTTCGAATTGTTTCATGACGTAATATAGAAGTTTGTCTTCGTTCTTATCCAAAGCTTAAGCATAAAAAAGAAAGAAAAAAAACGTGTTCCATACTGCTAACCCAACTTACACGCATACTTACGATCAAGACTTTACTGCTGGACATTATTTTTTACATTAACAATAATTGCCGAAGATTTTCTTTTTGTTTATTAAGCTCCACTACTTATGTGAAATTGTAGGGCAAGTTCTCTTATGTTATAATAAGGGTTATAGAAACTGGTACGATATGTCACTGTAACAACGTTAGTTATGCAATGATATGAAGAAAAAAAAATCCTTAAACACCTAAAGGAAAATTGAATGAGAAGATAAATGAATGATTGATTATATATATATATATATAT